GACAAGTGGGCGAATCCTGTAATCACAGACCTGGTTTCAAGTCGAAAGGTGGAGGACCTGAAGCAGAAGCTGGAGGTAGCGGAGCAGGAGATTGAGGCAGAGAAGAAGACGCTGGAGGTAGCGGAGCAGAAGCTGGAGGACCTGAAGCAGAAGCTGGAGGTAGCGGAGCAGGAGATTGAGGCCCTCAAAAGGCAGCTGCAAAAGCAGCAGCAGCATGGCCAGTAATGGAGATGGTGTATAAAGCCACCTTCCCACAAATACTCAGCTGCTGGACGAGGCACTGTTGTGCTTCCCCAATCTATGTGCGTTTTTGTAGTTGGTGGGGCAGCCCCACCTAAGCAGGTGCATTTGCATGCCAAGTTGAAAACCTGGCTTGTTGCTCCGATTCCATTCAAATGGCCAAACTTGCAGACCTAATCACTATAGATATATGTGTGTTTATGCATCTGTCTGGGTGGCTGTTTTTGCTGTTATAAGATGTTTTTTCCTGGGGAGACCCCCGAATTAGTCAGGAGCGCGAGATTATGGCTAGCTGCTGAGATGTGGAGTTGAGGTTACAGTTGATGGACCAGATTCGCACGCTGGATTGGTGGCGATTGCCGGACCCTCTGTCTCTTCGGTTGTTCGGGTGAATGGATGAGGAGGGGTCCTTGAAGGCTGGATCCGCCATCCAGTTCGTATGGCGTAGTACAGTGTGGTAGTGGTGGATGGTGCTATAAGGTGATAAATCCTAGAACTGACAATGTGATAAAGCGGCCCAGAAGCCTCCCACTCTGTATCATTACATTACATTACATACTTCAACGATTTCTTGAAGAATTCAAGTTAAAAGCTAAACATATAGAACAGCTAAAACCAAGATTCTAAGTCAGTATCTTGTAGCTGCCCAATTTTAAAATCGTCTTTTACAGTATAATAGTGTTATCACCAATTTTTATCGATTGAAAAATCTCACCACTATTTGAAATCAACTCTTGAATCAGTGTCTACAATATTTTACTGCAAGATCATAATGCATCTCCAAATTGTTATAAGCTTTTTGCATTGGAGATAATTTTCTCAGCTTCAGCAAAATATATAGATACAATAACAAGAGAGAGTCCAAAGCTGGCTGCAGTGAATAAAACCGGTTTAAGGTTGGGTAAGCAACTGAAAATCCAGCTGCAGCCCATAGCCATGTAACAATACTTTCACCGATAAGCGGTATAGCAGAGAACAGGTTAGTGATCACCGTTGCTCCCCAATAGCTCATCTGTCCCCAAGGTAAAACATATCCCATGAAAGCCGTAGCAACTCCGAGTTTCAAAACCTCTTATAAGGCCCTTTTTTCTTCTACCAACTAACTGCAATTTCGCGAACATTACGGAATTCTCTAGTTCAAATACCCATTTTCTCCAGCTTCACAAAAATCCTTCACTGGAACTTCCTGCTTCTCTTACAGATTCGGGATCAGAATTTTTAATAAATTATGGACCGTATCTTTAACAGTCATGCGTCCAACACACACAGGTGCACATACGTACATGCATGCAATTACACACGCAGTGTATATATGTAGTTATGTAGAGTACGTCCCTAAGGCACTGATTGGGTCGGTAACCCATAGGTTACCCATCGGTTACCCACCTTCAACCCCCCGTAGCCCATTGGTAACCCCCTTGTAAGTTCCTACCCAGCAGGAGGGGTGACACGGCCCCAGGGTAACCCCCTCCGTTGCCCTGGACTATGGACATGGGCCTATAGGCTACTCATCTTATTTGCTGCGCACTTCGTGAATTCCTTTTAGTACATTTCTGTAAATGTACATGTTACAGGGTTGAAGGTTTTGTTGTGGAATGTCCATGGGTTGTTGGAGGCAGGAGTTTTTAAGCTTGACCGTGCCGGAATTAAGTCTTTTGTGACTAGTCATGATCTCATCATTGTTACCGAAGCACACCTAACGGATGCAGTGCCAGAGAGTGACGTGTCCCTTGAAGGTTTCCGCCTGATGCGGGTGCAGAGGTCAGGAGATGCCATACGCGCTGACTATGGCGGGGTTGCTCTCTACGTGCGTGATACCGTCTCCCATGGGGTTACCATTGTCCGGAAAAACAACAGTCTTGCAGGCTGTGAGGTCCTGTGGATACGTGTCAACCTTCTGTCAGGAAACAGCCTCCTGGTGGGGGCCTGTTACCTTGCACCTGAAACTTCCAGAGTGTACCCAGCCGGAGGTGCAACTAATGCACAGCGAGCAGCAGCAGCAGAAGCTGCTTTCGTGAGAGTCCAACAAGATATTTCTGAGCTCCGGCAGCCGGGGGAGGATGTGATGCTTGCCGGTGATCTAAATGCCCGTCTATCTAGTGCACAGCATACAAAGCACCGGTCCTCGCCTGCTGACCTGCCCGGGTACGTTAGTGATGTTCCAGATTTAGACCAACTGACGGCACTGCAGGAGTTCATGGGCTTGCCGGGGGACGCGGGCCCTCAGGGCTACGTAGACGTGCCCGGACGTAGGAGTGAAGACCTCGTCTGCAATTTCGCTGGGCACCAGTTGGGCGCCCTGTGCCGATCACAAGGGCTGCTGGTATTAAATGGCCGTATTTCCGGGGATTTAGAGGGTCGTCTGACCTTCCCCAAGGGTGAAGCAGGTGGGAGCATGATCGATCTTTTTGTAGGTTCGGCCGGTGTTCTCCGTCATGCCTATTGGATGCGAGTGGGCAAGCTGCTCGCGCCAGATGGTTGGTTCCCGACTGACCACCGTCCAATGACGCTAGTGCTTGGTCTAGCTGTAGGAGGAACTAGGACGAGTGCCAAAGGGTGCTGCCAAAAGAAGCGAGCAGTGTTTGAGATTTCCTGTTACCGTGACTATGCTGCTCTGTTCACTGATGGATCCCAGGTCATGCATGCACTAAATGGGGTGATCACGGACCTATCGAATGGGGCCTGCAACAGCACGGAGTCGGTGGAGCGCATTAGTACCCTCCTGCGGAAGGTGCTGATTCGAGTATTTGCGGGTCGCAGGCCTGAGGGTATGCAAGCGGGGGGTGGTGCATTATGGTGGAATGAGGAATGCCAAAGCGCCCGGCAACACATGCTTGCTTGCAGGGTGCGTCTTGGCCCTGGCAGGGTCGAGAATAAAACAGGCCCCTTGTGGGAAGCGTTCTGCAAGGCACGTAACGCAATGAACCGTGCCAAACGTCATGCCCGAGCAGCATATGATACAGAGAGAATGCGTGAGTTCGTGGTTAGGTGCAGGCACAATCAGCGCGCACTATGGCGGGCCTTGGGAGGGCAACTCAAGGAGCGTTGCGCAATTGACGACTTGCATGTATTTCGGGATCATTTTGCCACCTTGTTAAACGCAGGAGTTGGGGAGACGGGTGTTGAAGGTGCGCACCGACTCCTTAACTATATCTCCTTTTTTGGGGCCCCTTTGGGAGAGGGTGCTTGCCAAGCATGTCGGACTGTCATGGACAGGAGAGCACGGGCAGCTAGCATCCTGGATGAGCCTTTCACCTTGGAGGAGGTAGCGCGTGCTGTCGGTAGGTTACCAAACGGAAAGGCTCATGGGCTCGAGGCCGTACCATCGGAATGTTACCGTTATGCACGCCTCCCACGGGTGGATGAGCAGGGCAGGCAGGGAACGGAGGTGAACTGTATCGTCCCAGTGCTGCACGTTTTGTTAGAGCACATCAGGGCAACTGGTGATTTTCCACAGCAGTTTACCAAAACGGTGGTATCCCCAATTTTGAAGAAGGGTGACCCGTTGGTGGCAGGAAATTATCGGGGCATTGCAGTTGGAGGAGCACTTGCGAAATGCTATGCGTCAGTGATCCTTAACCGCCTGGTACGTGCTGGGGAAATACTGGACCTGCGGCACCCATGCCAAGCGGGTTTCAGGCGGGGTTTTGGCACTGCTCACCACCTCTTTGTCAAGCAACACCTGGTCAGGCGGCATCGGATCGCGGGACAACCGCCGTTGATAACAGTGCAGATTGACTTTGAGAAGGCCTTTGATAGGGTGCCTCGCGAACACATGTGGCTTCGGTTGCAGGAGAGGGGGATTAGCGGCCCCATGCTAGGTGCTCTGAGAAAAGCGTACGAGAAGGTGTCCATGGTGATGAAGGTAAATGAGAAAGTGGGGGGAGAGTTTGAGTCTAAGCAAGGAGTGAAGCAAGTAGGGATGCGAATTTACGTTTTACGTTTTTACGTTTTAAGGAATTAAGGTTACGTAATTACGTAATTAAGATTGGACCTGGCCGTAATAAGGTCCCTCAGGAGGGGTAGAAACCTTAAAAGCTTAACAGACCCATGGGTCTTACAGGTTCCGCCGGTCTGCAAACCAGGGTGCCGCTGACCCGTCCACTCCTCCGAACACACCACAAACCCAGCCATGGGGGAAGCGTGAAAGAGTCCAACAATGCAGGTTGAAAACCGCGATTCCCTCCGCCCAACCAAGCAAAAGAGCAAGTCAAGTAGTCAACACGACAAGTAGTCCTGGTTGCAAACCAGGACTATGGTTGCAAACCAGGACTATGGTTGCAAACCAGGACTATGGTTGCAAACCAGGACTATGGTTTGCAACGGTATTAGGTGTCGTGGTCGAGTATGTATGCACGGCTTTCAATGCTTAACAGTGCAGGCAACTTCCTTTCTGCTTATCGAACTGGTCCCGCACCCAGTCGGAGGGCTTGGCCTTGTCGCACGACGTGCGGGGCGGCAGGACCGGCAAGCCCGCAGCATTGCGAGGGGGCAAAGCGTACGCGAGCAGCGTGGTGCCCTTTTTCATATGCTGCTGCTGGTCCTTAAGAGCAGGTGGTGTTGCAGTATCAACGCCGCCATACGCGCCGGTGCCGGGGGTCGTGCCCGCGTCAGCCATGGTTCAAATTGGAAAGGCGATAGTCGCCAAGTCGGCTGTACAAGCGCCAAACTGATGTCAAAAATATGTAAATAAGTAAAGAATGGTGTTGCGAATGTGAAAACGCTGAAATTGTGCTGAAAATCCAAAATCGTACACTAGTACGGCAACCTTAAATTAAGGGTCCAGGGTCCAGGCCGTGGAAACCGTAAATTACAGTAATTTACTATATTACGCTTTTAAGCTTACGTAATTAAGGTTGCCAAATCCCAATTCAGCTGAAATTCACATCCCTAGAAGCAAGGGTGTCCTTTATCTACGGAGTTGTTTGGACTCTTCATCGAGACACTAGCTGATCTGGTTGATACTCATGACCTTGTAGAAGCTGGATTATGTCCTATAGCCTTCATGGCTTGCTGTACGATTTCGTTCGGGGTGCCGGATAGGACAGGACGAGGCGAAACCGGGGCTGCCAAGGGCCTTACACTACTGCAGTACTAATTGCTGCTCTCGGGCTTGTGTCGCAAGGCCAATACGATTTTAGTTTGTTATGCTCGTATGTCGAAGCTTCCTGTAGGACATTGGCAGCAATAAGCGGCTTAACAAAACGTGGAGGAGCCGGATGGACCACTGCCCGCCATACATGAAAAAGTTAGTTTTTAAAGAAGCTTGGGACATCACGCTCTACCAAGTGTTCAGAATTGTTGCAAAAGTTCATGCGTATGCCGTGTGTAGCTCGAGACATGGCCATGATGTGCTCAAATCTCTTAGAGGCGCACCTCATGTCTCCTGGCATGGCATGACCGTGCAGTGTAATCCACCAGTAAGGAACGCGCTACCTGAAGAGTGCTGGATAGGAGAACGAGGCGGCGGTCGCAATGCACCTAGCCGCGCCTGCTGGGCTACCTTGCAGGAGGGCAGCCCTTTTCAACAATATTGTTTGGCAAACGTCAGACAAAGAGAAACTGAGCAGTCCAGTAATGTTAAGCCTCACTAGGTGCGCTATGCCTGCAACGGCAGCTTGCAGTAGAGAGATTTTTTCATGTTATCTTATGTTGCCCATCATAAGAGTGAGAAACATACTTGCACAGTGGCAGAAAGCAAGGCGCATATTTCCGCTTAAAAGGTGAATGATTTCAGAAGTAATAACGCAGACTTACTGCGGCTATGCGCCACACACATCTTAACAGTCCTGGTTGGAACCGGGGAAACGTTCCATCCAGCAACTTGTAAGGCCCATGCGATATGAAAATCTAAAAAGATGATATGTCTTGGCGCGGGCCTTTCAAGGGTTCCTTTTCATCATCCTAGAGCTAAATCCCTCCCCAACGTTTCTTGATAGCAATGTTAACCAGAAAGCTTTTACCCAGACGCAAGCTTCGTACAGTACAACCGGTTTTTCCTTAGCGACTTCGGAATTAATGTCCGTCATTCCTGGGAGAATAAATCGTATTAACCTCTAATGAGCGCTTGCATGGCTTTAAGCTGAGATAACGGGGTTACCACAACAGCTATTTGTCGCTGCCTGTACCTGTTCGGCGACCGATCTATCGTATCTTCTTTCCCTCAGTACCCCAGCATCCTTAATGGCGTCGAATGAAGCTGAGCTGGATCCCACGCACTAGACCAAACTGCGCTTACATTCTTTAGTTTGCGGCTGGGTCCCTGGCTGCCATGACCTGCCATACCATAAGTAAGCCGGCACCTTATTAATGCCGTACTGTGCATACCCTTCCCATCCGCCGCACCCTGACATCCGTGTAGAGAAGATACCACCTGACCAGCTTTACTGAGGTTTAGTTGTCATGTGTTCGTCACGTATGGTATCTATTTCGCAGTGCATATGTGCAGGTAGATAGGCTGACAGTAGATTGTATCCAAGCAAATTAAATGAGCGACGTCCGGCTTCATATCGTCATGCAGCAGCTGCACCAGCTGGTGCCTAATGCCCCTCGATGTACGCCCATACGTAGACGTATGCCATACACACACACACACACACACACATCTGTTCCCACACACACGCACAGACGCACACAGACATACAGACATACGGACATACAGACATACATATGAAGCATGCGCGGGTAGGGTTGAGGGCTGCGACTCCGCCAGGGGCAGTTCTCGCAGCGGGTGAAAGAAAGGCTTTGCAGAGCTCTGAGTGCCGCAATACATGGGTGGGATGGCGGTAGTGGATGGCAGAATGCATTGCGCGCGGCCACCAGGGAAAGTAGGAGGATAGTCTAGTAGGGGAAGTTTAACAACTAACAACTAGGGATACAGACCTAGGGGGTATGACGACCCAGGCGCTGGTTGCACAGCTTGCTGCTGGAGGGGGGGGGGGTAGCGGCGCCCGGGGACCGAAGGCCCCAGAGTGATAGTGATAGGCGCGCATGGTTTCGTAGGAGTAGTGTTTGAGTGCGCATGACGGGGTGGTGATCTTCTGAGGTGCCGCCACGGGTGAGAGCCATATAGCCCCGCCAGACAAGCTCCCGCCTTGACAAGCTTGCCCCGCCTAAAACCCTAAGCCCATTATTTTTCTCTAGGTAGCTTTAAATAATAATGTTATCGATGCACGATCACTCATACGACACAGAAATGCACTGACGCACATTCGAACATGAATGAAATGCCAAATACAGAAGTACGGAGGGCCCGATGCCAACCCCGGATATCACACCAGGACGAGACAGTCCGAGTTTGGCCATTCCAGCACAGAATGCAGAGTCAGACAACAGATACCAACTAAGCTTTATTAAGACAGGTTACAGAAAATAGACGACTAGAAAGACTAGAGAAAGTCGAGGTCCAAATCGCTTGACGAGTGATGTTAGATTGCCTTTATCTTTGGTTTTGCCTACAATAGGACGCCGTCTCTTATATATGAAAAGACAACAACAACGGCGACGCGAGGATCGACATTGCGGGCCGACGGCATCCATGCAAGTAAGTGAAGCGCGCGGGCACCGCGCGGGTGGTTGGGTTGGTTCGGCCTTGAGTAGAGGCACCTGAACAGCGGGTTCTGTGGCTTGTCGGTGGGCGGGGTGAATTCTAGTTGGGTTCGCGAGGCCCGTAGGTCAGTAGGAAAGGTGGTTTTATCTCGGCCTCCCGCAGTTGGCGAAGCTTAAGATGGGAGTCCGTTTTGCCGGGAGTAGCTCTTGGTTGACAAGTTGTTGCGAGGGGCTTGGTCGGCGCCCTTTGTCTTGAGTTCGCCTGATTTACCCTGGTATCCTCGCGAGTCGCCAGATAGCCCGGTGCAGGATACTTACCAACATAACAGCTACCCTACGTGCGAAGGCGTAAGGAACAACGAGCAAAACAGGCATACAGGATGGCGTCAAGAAATCTGCAAGCAAACGAAAGTTGAAGTCAAGACGCGTGGACGGACCCGGAGTCTTCGGACGTGTGGACGGGCTACAGCTACACCAGAAAGCCGCCGCGGCGGTCCGCTAAGTGCGGCACAGAATGCATGACAAGCGGCTGCGGAAGGCAGTGCGCTTAGGAAGCCCGCCGCGGCGGCACGCCGAATTGAAGGCGTTGATTTAGGAGCATATAGGCAGCGGCCGCGGAAGGCGGTGTGCTTGTAGAAAAGCCGCTGCGGCGGTCCGCTAAGTGCGGCACAAATGCATGACACGCGGCTGCGGAAGGCAGTGCGCTTAGGAAGCCCACCGCGGCGGCACGCCGAATTGAAGGTGTTGATTTAGGAGCATATAGGCAGCGGCCGTGGAAGGCGGTGCGCTTGTAGAAAAGCCGCTGCGGCGGTCCGCTAAGTGCAGCACAAATGCATGACACGCGGCTGCGGAAGGCAGTGCGCTTAGGAAGCCCGCCGCGGCGGCACGCCGAATTGAAGGCGTTGATTTAGGAGCATATAGGCAGCGGCCGCGGAAGGCGGTGCGCTGT